TCTCTCCCTCTCCCTCTCTCTCTCTCTCTCTCTCTCTCTCTCTCTCTCTCTCTCTCTCTTTTGTCGCACTCGATCTCAGGCTCTCGTTGTTAACGGCAGGTGAGTGTTTGCCAAAACAACCCCTCCCCTACCCTTTTTTTTTTTTTTTTGGTCCGGACATTTTGTACCCCCGATATCGGTCCGGACTGTTCAGGTCCGGTGGTGTCCGGGTGTCCGGCGATGTCCGGACCAGTCTGGACACTCGTCCGGAGTACAGTCTGCAAGTGTCCGGTGTCCGGGTCCGGCATTACCATGCTCGAAACTGTTTTCTTTTTTCTCTTCTGCATGTGGTATGTGAATTGTTTTGTTATTACAAACTGGGAATCTATCCGTGCAATGCTGGTGTTTCCCGCCCACCCCACCCCACAACGTGGGGGGCCTAAAAGCATGTGGTACCAGCACCACGCTCTTTTTTACACAAAAGGTGGGGTTGATCGAGGACGAGGGGCCAAGGTAATAAACGGGGCATGGTGGATGCAACGGAACAAGGATGACAGGGAAGGAAACGTCGAGACTAAATGGAGATTGATGGAGGGGCTGAGGAACACGTGGAATAAATTTGTCTTTTCTTTCCCCCCCTTGAAATCTTCTTTTCTTTTCTCTTCTGCCTATGGTATCTGAACTGCTTTTGACTTGCAAACTGAGAGTCTATCGATCCCGTGCTGTTTTTTCTTAGTGGGAGGGGACTGATGGACGCAAGAGATGACGCAGACCGAAATCTAGGGGAACCAAGATCATGTACTATCGACGCCATGCCGTTTTTTCTTTTTTTTTTTCTACGGAAAGAAAAACAGCCTGACACAGATAGCACATGCTCCTCATCTGGATGCAATCAATGTTTTTGGTTCTTTTGCTGCCACGACATGCCCACTTCTATGAGAACAATATTTTTTTCGATGATGCCCTTACCGGGCAGCTCTGTTTGACTATATATATGCATTCTTTTTCTCCTTATGTTCCACGGCGCTGTTTATTTTTTTCCTCTTTAAAAACGACCAAAATTTTGTGAGTTGTGCTGATCGCACATCAGATTGTTGTATGTTTGGAATTTCTTCTTTCCTTTGCGTTCGAAATCAGCGAGAATTTCGCCATGGTAGTGCATACATGCTCTCAAGTGACATACATACGTTGCATGTGTGCTCTCTTCTTCTGTCCTCTCCATTTGCATTTTCCCACACATTCACCCGATCACCTGTCGCATGTGTGCTCTCTTCTTCTGTCCTCTCCATTTGCATTTTTCCACACATTCACCCGATCACCTGTCGCATGTGTGCTCTCTTCTTCTGTCCTCTCCATTTACATTTTTCCACACATTCACCCGATCACTTGTCGCCCAGCTTAGCTGAAAGCTCACGCGCCATCGAACAAAGAGCATGTTTCATGCATAGAGAACGTCAACGTCATTACAGACAAAGACATGCCGAAAATATTCGCCCCCGAATACACAGTGCACATCTCTATACAGCCACACTTTTTGTGCAACAGCCTCTGCTTGACGTGACTCTCGACGACAGAACATGCTGCACATCCTGCAACACACAAGAAAGGCCTCGTGAACATAGCTGGACTTGCTGCCTCCAAGGCAAAGTTCGACCGCCAATACGGACATACCCTGACGCGGGACACCTGCTGATCAAATTCTCCATCTCTGGGAAACCAACAACCAGCAGGGTAGACTGCTCCGAAGACTGCTCCGATCATGAGCACGACAATTGAACAATACGTGCACTCTCACACCTCAAACCATAAAAGAAACACAGATGCCAGCAGGACGCTGGCAAGGCATGCTAAGGATCGAGGGACAACTTCGACAAATACTAGGTCCTTTTATTCTGGGCAAAAACCAGTGGCCATCTTTTGCTCCAATTTACATATATTACCCCCTCGACGAGAACAACACAACCATTCTCAGTTCATACGGATTCAATCTACCGCCAGACATGCCACTGGCCACATCACAGCAAATCAAATCCCTCTTACGAAAGCTCCACTTTCTTCTCTGTCAATGCAACCCTAGGGTTCAAGATTTCATTACAGTCTCTGCGTTCCCCATCATAC